CCCCCCCCCCCTTACTACTACCTATAAGTTGATCACTCTAAGGTTTTATGTTTTGGTTTACTTGATACCTAATAGATGTTTCAGAATGTGACTCCACTGTTGTAAATCTTCCTGTTGTTCCTTTTAGAGGTTTTTCTACAGTGGACTTGTAGATGGGATACCGAACAAAAATTATTACTTTCTGTATGTCTTGAGAGCCTGCTGTTTGCTATATAGCATATGGCTGGTCATCTGGCCCCATGAGTGGACTACTTAAAAGGACCATCATTACTGTCTTACTTCCTTCACTTTGTATTCTGTAGTTGCTGATTGGTCATGCCTTTTTTCAGTAGTAGCTGCGTCAGGTGGCTGGTTTCTCTATCTCTTTTCTTTTGCTTTAAAAAAGTCTTTTCTGTGGCTCCCATCAAACCTTCCAAAGTGCATTTGATACCTTGGCTATCCTATTGCTTTTCCTGGGGCACAAAGAGTGAATAAGCAATGTCTGCTTGGTCCCTGGCCAGGCTGTAGAACCGAGAGAAATAGAGGGTCATGTGCCTTTTGTGTTTAAGTCATCGTGGGTGGTGAGAGGAATGAGAAATAGTCCTTGCCTTAAAGGAATTTGCAATTTAAGGAAGGGCACAACAGAATATAGTCACAAATTACAAAATCTAAGTAGCAGTCTCATATAAGTTTTAGAGATGACTGTAGGGTTTCAGACTGATGTTGAATTTGGTATGTTTACGTGGGAATGCTTAATCCACGATTTGCACAGATCTGTGGAGTGAAATTAATGCTATAATGGGGTATGTGGCTGTGTAAGGGCTGAGGCATGCTGTGAATGAAGTGACTACATTGGGTGGGATTGATAAAAATGGTTTCTTGAAGGAGGTATCTAGGTAGCTTTGGGATACGGGTCCCATTTTGGTCCGTTCAGGTCCCCACCCCACACAATATATTATGGGAGAGTCCTTTTTCTTGAACTGTAGGAGTTCCAGGAAGCGCTCGCCCCTGGCCGAGGATATGTCCTTGCAAAACACGAGCCCTCCTAGTGAAGAGGGGATGTCACCCAAAGCCTACCACCGGTGTGTACATTTGCTTTTTCCCGTTGTCCCTTCCAGTTGGCCACTCTTGGTCCTGTTAAATTCACCTTGCAAATTGGTCAGCGTATTTGAGTTCCCATTGTTTGATGAGAACAGAGTGTTACTGGGTAATACTGAAGAAGAAAGAGAAAACCCCTGTCCTGAAAGAGCTTAGACTCTAATTGGGAGAAGGTACTAACATTGGAAGACTTAACACTTGGCAAACAGAATATTAACAATGTAATTTTATGTAATATGAACCCAGCTCTTAAGTGCTAAGAGGATATGAAACAACAGTTTGATCAGAGTGAGATGAGATTATTAGTGAGGAAAACTTCCTGAGGCGAGTTTTAGGCAGGACTTGGAACAGGGGTGTGGAAAAAGTTGAGGGATATCATTGCAAATGTAGGCAGTAGTATTGGCAAAGACCTTGAGATGGGAACATTTATAAGGACATGGTGATGAAATTTGCTTGACTGGAGTAGGAGAATGATGAAGTTGGGTGAGATGGTCCGTTTGGTGGAGGGTCTAAAGGACTCTGGGGAAAGCTACAAAATGCTGGTAGGGACTAGGATGATTCTTCCCTTCTCCCATGGGCAGGGAGAAAACTCTTCTGTCATCTTGGGTTTCTTTAGGAAGTGTTTGGTGATGACTCTGAGATCTCCAAGGAATCATCAGGAGTAAAGAAGCGACGGATACCACGTTTTGAGGAGGTGGAAGAGGAGCCTGAAGTGATCCCTGGGCCTCCCTCAGAGAGTCCTGGCATGCTGACTAAGCTCCAGGTGAGTAATTAGGGACTGAAAGCAGTGATTCTGTGAGCTGAAGAAGTGAGAGATGCAGGGGTCCAGATTCATCATGACCTTGATTTGAATTAGTATTTAGCATTGGGAAACTTTTGTTTACTGCTCTATGTTTTATCATTTCTCAGTTTAACTAGGAGTATTCCACCTGAAGGCTATTGAAATAACATTTACGAGCACCTGTTATGTGGCAAACAAGGGTGTTACATACATTATTTGCCCAGTTGTCTACCTCGTTGGGTGATTGAGAAAATTATTGAACTAATCAGAACTCAGCTTGATGACAGAGGAGAATTTCCAAATATAATGCTGACATGCTATAATCCACTAAAATAATTTCAAGTTGACTTGTTTTTAATAAGAATTATCTGCGTTTTTAAAATGGACTTTCTTTTTTTTGTTAATTAAAAAATTGTTTTTTAATGTTTTATTTATTTTTGAGAGAGTCAGAGTATGAGCAGGGAAGGGGCAGAGAGAGAGAGAGAGAGAGAGATGCCAAATCCAAAACAGGCTCCAGGCTCTGAGCTGTCAGTACAAAGCCTGACGCAGGGCTCAGACCCACGAAAATGACCTGAAGTCGGTCGCTTAACTGACAGAGGGAGTGAGGGAGAGAGAGAGGGGGGAGACATAGGATCTGAAGCAGGCTCTAGACTCTGAGCCAAAGTCAGCTGCTTAACCACCTGAGCCACCTAGGTGCCCCTAAAATGGGCTTTCTTAAAACAATTTTGGTACTACATATATAATAAATATTTCTTGTGCTGTTTAAAGTCTCTTGGAAGAAGAACAGAATATATACATATATGTGTGTGGGTGGGTGGATGAATTTGCTTATATATATATTTATATATGATATTTCTGCAGGGAAAGATACTGGTGCTTTATAGAGAGTAGGAGTAGAAGATTTCACAATATACTCTTTTGTACTGTTTTGCATTTTGAACTATGTAAATATATCACTTACACAAAAAAGATGTCAAAAATAAACTTTAGGGCACCTGGGTGGCTCAGTCAGTTGAGCATCCAACTCTTAATTTCGGCTCCTGGGGTTGTGGGATCAAGACCTGTGTCCGGCTCAGCACTGAGCATGGAGCCTGCTTGGAATTCTCTCTCTCTCCCTTTGCCCTGCCCCTGGCTCTAAAATAAAAAGGAAAAGGAAAAATTAGGGACACCTAGGTGGTCAGTTGTTCAAGCATGTGACTCTTGATTTCTGCTCAGGTTGTGAAATCAAGCCCCATGTCAGGCTCTGCGCTGATACTAAGGAACCTACTTGGGATTCTCTCTCTCCCTGTCTGCCCCACCCTCTCTCCCTATCCCTCTGTTTCTCTCAAAGTAAATAAACATTAAAATTTTTTTGTGTGTGTGATTAATTTAAAAATATATCTTGAAACACCTTGACAGCAAGGTTTCTTTTGGAAAATTCAAGAATTATTTGATTGTATTCTCAAAGGTTATTATTCTCATATTCTTTAGGACAGAAGAAGTATTTTACACGGGATAGGAAACAGATCTTTGCATTGTTGTCTCCAGTTACCCAAAGCAGGAATTCATCAAAAGTATGATAATTTGGGGCTCCTGGCTGGCTCAAGTCAGAAGAGCATGTGACTCTTGATCTCTGGGTCATGAGTTCAAACTCCACCATGGGTGTAGAGATTCCAAAATTAAATAGATAAACTTAAAAGTATAATTTGTGTGGACTCTGCCAAGAGTTTTGTTTAAATGCTCATAATAGCCCTGTAAGGTAGGTCTGTTGTTATACCTTTTTTTAGGCACTTGGAGTTTTAGAGATTAAATACCATGTCCAGTGTCACATAAGCATTAAGTGGCAGAGTTAAGATTCAAGCTCAGGTTTCTATTAACCTGAGTCCTTTTTTTTTTTCTTAACGTTTTATTTATTTTTGAGAC